AACAAATAATTTCCATTAGGCCATGGCTTCTCAAACCGTGCACTACCATCACCCCATAATAAGATAAATGAATTTGTGTGACGCCCTCCATAAATAAAATGAATATCATTAAGGCTGAGTTTGGGCAAGAAGTAAGTATATTACTTACTTGTAATAATTACTGTTGTGGCCAAAACCTGACTCACCTAAAGCAACCAAACGTACTTTGAACATTCAACCTAATTTTATTAGCATGCAAACAATAAAACAGTATATACAAGGCTCCCAGCAAGGCTTTTAACAGCCATAAGCAAAAGCAGAACTAGAGGTCATATACCTTTGGCCTACTACATTGCAAAGACAAAGGAAAAAGGCAAACACAGTGGAAATTACAGCACAACGTTGGAACGTTTTAGATGAATGTTTTAGATAAACCCATCCCTGTGACCTTATTACTATTTATCCCTTCCTACTAGGTCAGCATGGCAACTATACTATCTCTTAGATATGATCAGCGAATAGAAACAATTGGGTTTACTGGGCCACAAGTTCCTGACTGATTCTTTCCCCTGTCACCACTCAGGGTCAATTCAGGTTGCTGTGAATGTTTTCTTACAAGGGTACTTTAAGCAGTCCACATGCAGGGGGGTGGGGGGGAGTGCATCTCATAGGTTTGGTAGTGGAGCTTATGTGTGTATGGGGGATACCTTTTACATTACATTTTAATCTAGATATCACAGGGTTCTCAAATTTCATGAGCTTGCACAAGCAAAGCAGAGACCAAACCTCAGAGTGAGTTTTGCCTGTGATCAAGCCTTGCTAATACAGGCCTGATAAGGTGGTTTTGTTTTTTTTTTAATTTCAACAGTCTGGGAATACCTGCTCTAGATGATAAACAGAGTGATTTTATGGGTGCTAATTTCCATATTAGACCTACTAAGTTTAACATGCTGCATTTATACAAAGTTATACATGACTATAATGCACTTGGCTTAAACCAGCCTTCCCCATCCAGCTGTTTAGGGTTACAACTCCCATTCACTGTGGGTGAATCTAATGGAAGATACAATTCAAAATACTCGGAGGGTATCTTCCTGCCTAAATCTGAACAGGATCCAGCTAACGCTCCAAAAGAAATTTACTTAAGTAAATTTGCCAATACACAAACAAAATGGCCAAATCTCTGTGAAAGCCACTGCAAAGCAGGCAGCCGCTCGGGGGGGGGGGCTGTTTTCCCCACCACCGAAGCCCAGGCATGTGCAGTGTCCAAGAGGCCCCGGCCCTCTTTCCCGCTGCAAGGCTCCCACCGAAGGGAATCGTTGTCCCGCACCAGCCGCGCGCTCTCGGTGGGCGGCAGGAGCGCCCCGTCGAGGAAGAGGTTGAGCTTGGCGCGGCGGCTAAAGCCGAACTTCTCCCGAATGAGGCTAATCAGGTCAGTGACGAGGCGCACTTGGTTGGGCTCCAGCAACAGCCAGCAGAGTCCGCAGGCCGGAGTCACCGGCGGCGGGTAATCGAAGAGCAGGCGGAGACGCACCGGAGCCTCGCAGCCGCTACCGGCGGCCGCCGCCATCTTGCCGAAAGAGCAATTGCTACGGCGCGCCACGCGGGACAAAGAAAGCAAGGGCGAAGGCTACGGGTTGTCCGCGAGCTCCCTCCGCCGGGGGTGCTGGGCGGAAGGGCTCCGGGAGAGGGAAAGCGCGAGAACCCGTTGATTCTTTTCCAGTACAGCAATTTGTTGCGTTGGTTCATTTTTTAAAAACGCCCACCTCCTCCCACAGGGGAGCTGCGTAACGGTTTCTTTAAATTTGGGTATGTCTAATTTCTAAAATAGCCAACTCTGATAAAATCCCTCAGTGCAGTTTTGTTCAACCTCGTAATGGATGCACCTCCGAGTACTTAATTTCTGCTCTGTGGGCAGCTGTGAAAAAAATCCCATGAGGACAAAGTCGTCTCTGGAAGGAACAGGTGTATACGTTATTTAACTGAAATGCATTATTTTATTATTCAACGATTATTAGCATTGCAAGTACCATGAATCTGTTTCACTATTCAGATGATCTTGTCTGCATTTTAAGGCAGCCAGTGATGATGGGAGTTATAATCCAACATACCATGGACATCAAGTTGGGGAGGCCTGTACTGTTATGTTTAAAAGAAAAATCCTACAAATGATGCTGTTAGCAAAATTTGAGAGTTCCTGACTCTCCCCAATTAGGATTCAGTCCGGCAGAAGATCAGACACGAAAACACCAACTGAGATTTTTAAAGTTTTATTGAAAGCAAGCCAATCGAGTCAGTTGGGGTCTCCCCTTAAGGCAGAGAAGCAACCTGATCACACTCGAAGATGATTTTATACACGTTTCTTACACAGATACAGCAATTAACAAATTGATTGGCTAAAATTGGCATAAATTCAGGATCCTCATTATTGGGGGAAACTTATCTCCCCGATGACCCATTGGTTGCCAGTCAAAGTTCGGGGCACCCCTTTGATCTTCTGTTATTTATTGTTTCATGGAATGCAGAGCAGCTGAAGGGTGTTCTGAAGGCTATCAGATTGGGGTCACTTCCTCCCATATCTTT